GAGCATTTGTTGCGCTGGTGAGTATTCGGGATCTAATTGGGTCTTCAGCTCTTTTCCCTTCTCTCCCCATTTCTTCCTTTCTTTTCTCCTCTGTCTTCCTTTTCCTTCTCTACCATCCCATACCGTGTGCAGAGCTGCTAACTGCAAACAATTGAGAATAACTAAGAAAACAGAAAAAAATCATAAAATATTACCGGAGAATTACCGGAGCAAGCACAGAGATGGCCTCACAGCCACCCGATTCTGGAAGAGATGGGAAGCGTACCTGCTCTGGGTGGTGAAGGACCAACTGTTACAGCGTGGGTTTCAATTCAGGCAGATTCGCCAGCAACACATTTCACCAGTAGAGTAGGAGCAACCAACCTCCGGTAGGATAGCATATAGCAGGATAGTGGGACAGTCCAGTAGGGAAAGAGGGAGGTAGAATCGTGGGTTCGGGGGGCCTAGTGTCCTATACTAGGATGACCTCATGGGCTGGCAATGGGAGGGGGTGGGGATGTGGGAGGGGATTTGGGAGGAAAATGGGAAAAACTTTGGAAAAATGGGACCTTGGTATATGGGACGTTTGTAAATCCGAAGTGGTTGGGAGCTGAAGCATGCTTAGGGGGAAGGGGAAGTATGAAATAGGACAGTCACTGGGAATGGAGGAAGTAGTTGTGGGTATATAGCTGATAGGGAGGTGTACAGGGAACAATGGTAGCGGGAGCCGGGAGGTGGACAGGCTTTGCTTGGAAGCCAGGGAGGCCGCAGAGGCCGCCGCTGCCCACACCTCGGGTGTCCACGGTTCACTTGCTGTGTGACTGGGTACTGCTGGCAAGTTTCTCAACCAGCAAAGGAACAGGTGGGTGCCCAGGGAACGAGGACTCCGAGGCTGGACGGCCCCATGTGACCCCCCCTTGGCCAGGTGTCTACGACCACAAGGGTAAGCCTGCTCTTGATTCTGACTGTGCTTTTGTTGATTGTGTAGGGGTGGTTCAAAAAAAAATAAAATCATAAAGTATTGGCCGCAAGTGTGCCATAAGGCAGATGGGTATGAAGGCACCTAGCACTGGACTACGCAAATGTGGCTAGCCCCGAACGAATCAAATCTCCAGCGGACAATATGTTCTGCCATTCAGCAAGAACATCACAATCATGTCAAAACATCCACATGGGAAGAAGTTTCAATCGCAATTTCTGCGCACCCAGGTGGAAAAGGGGTTGCTGTAGTGATTGTTTAAAAGTTAAAAGTTAAAACACACACACACACAAGGATAATATGCGCAGCCACTCATATAGGGAAACACAGGCATACACGAACATTGGTGCCTCGTACCTTTCTTTCCACTCCATCAAACACATCGCCAGTGAAGATAAAGATCCGGGCTGTTTTTTTTTCCCCATCTACTGCAAATAAAATCTGACCTTAGTAAACGGTTGCCTCTTGATCTTCGAGTGAAGATAGGGGGAGACTTTACTTTCACCCAGCCTGAGTCAAACAATTCAATATGTAAATAGCGGATATAGATTAAAGCCTTTAAAGGTAAATTGTCTGCCTTCCAAGCAGGGGATATGGGTTCCATTCTCCTTATCTGCAATCCATGCAAGCACTCCTTTCTACACACATGGACTTACACACAGACACACAGACACACAGACACACAGGTTACTCTCACACAGCACACACAGAGACACTCACATGCACAGAGGCACTCACATGCACAGACTCACATACAGTTATGGGTTCTCACACTCACAGATCATTCACTTGTGACTTCTGGGGGGATTTCCTGTTGATGTTGGGTTGGGTTGATTCTATGGAACACATCTGGGTGGAAAAGGTGTTGTTGCTGCAGTG